ACGATTTACTTTCTGGTTGTTTTCTGAGAAAGAATAAAAGAAAATTTTAAAAGACATGTGTAAAAAGTTGATCCCGCATCCAATCCGGACATTGGGGGTTGCCTTGTTAGTGAGACAACTTCCTGGGTCGTCGGCATATTGTGGTAGGGTGGCCAGTTCCTTTCCACGTCGTCTTTACTTCCTTAACTCGATGTCAGGTACCCATTACTGCTGCGTTGGCAGGAGGGGACGGAAAAAAAAATTCCATTTCCGAACCGAGCCTTGAACGCGAACTTTATGCTTAGGAAACGATCGCACTAACTGCTCCGCCACCCGCACACTCTATAAGACATGCCTAATACAATGATTTTGGTAAGGAATTCCAACCACATCAGCGAGTTCAATATTAGAAAGTTATCTTAAAGGCAAGGTCTACAATTTAACGATCTGTGCCGGCTGATTCGTAAAATTGATGTTGTTTAACATTATGTTGTTCTATCACCATCTCCTCAGTACCAGATACAAAAATAGAGATAACGTGTGGCAATGTGCAAGAGAGAGAGAGATAGAGAGAGAGAGAGAGAGAGAGAGAGAGAAAGAGAGAGAGAGAGAGACAGAGAGACAGAGAGAGAGAGAGAGAGAGAGAGAGAGAGAGAGACAGAGACAGAGAGACAGAGAGAGACAGAGACAGGGACAGAGACATAGACAGAGACAGAGGCTTAGATATAACTTTTTGGGCAGCAGAAAAATCATGTTGAAAATTGAAAAGATAACCAAGAGCCCGAACTCACCGCTCCATTCACAGTTGCTAAGTGCTTCCCCTGGGAATTTATCTGCCAGTTTTGCGCAATGAAATTTCCAGTTCGCATCGCCCTCATTAAGGCTCTCAACAGACTGCAGAGGAAAAGGAAACGAGATGAAATAGAATGTAACAGTGGACAGCTAGAAAAACAAATGAAGTAGTCTTGTTTGAAGCAAATTGCAGACGACAGCTTATAACGAGTATACAAAAGCGATAGGCAAACTTCATTGGACACACAATGAAAAAAAAAGCATTGGAGAATATGGTAACAACAGGTAAGTTTAATGGAAAAAGAGGCAGAGGCAGACAGAGGGGAAAGATACTGGACAAGTTAACAACATCTCTTGGAAAGGCAGCAGCAACAGACGCCAGCTGATTCCAATCCAACACTCTCTTTGATATGCAACTGCCTTACTTCCTTTGGACACGTAGTAGGCTAAATGTATACTCTTGTACTACCGATCAAGCACTAGCAAACAAAATCAAATGATAATGATAATAATATGTGACATTTATATTGTGCTTAACCCTGATAGCACGAGCTCTGAGCGCTTTACAAATACAACAGCAACACATAAACAATAAAATTGGCGCTCATATGACCTTATGCAGTTGGGAGCGCCGTAAAATCCTCTACTATAAAAAACAACAGTAAATTATGTTCTATCTAAAAACCCAGATAGAATGTATCTAATCAATGTATCATTCACTATCAATAATGTATTATAGAGTCGACAGCTGTCCAAGTCTTGGCGCCGTTTTGGCTTCTATTTAATCTAAAAGCACAACTAACTGAAGGCTGGTATTTTATGAATTAAAAGACTTGATCTCTCTTAAATTATCAGGCCGTGCGTTCTATATATTAAATTAAAACTTAGGAAAATAGAAAACGGAAGTAATGTGATTTAATCAGCACACAAGAAAGAACCTAATCAATAATCATTATAGACACGTCAATAAAAAGCGTATAATATTATGATTATGATGGTGTTTTTTAAATATTTTTTTTTTTAATGTTTTTTTTGGGGGGGGTGTAATTATTTTCCAAAGAGCCGGATATTGAACATCTAAAAAAAAGTCTGTAATCTTATGAAAATTGTCCAACCCAGACGCGTCATGTTTATAGGAAGCGTCAAAATTTGTATCGTGTCATTTAAAATACAAGTTTTTCCCACACAGGAAAGGAACTCGGGTCTTCTGCGTGCGATGTCAAAGCGCCTGGCCGCTACACCACAGACGCCTGTTTACAGACAGTGGGCATTTATGAGGCATCGTGGTGAACTCAGGCGCTCGTCAAAGTAATGAAATGAAAGAAATTGGTGGGTTTTTTGTTTTTTGGTGGGGGGTTTTGGCCCCATGGGCAATTTTTTTTTTTTTTTTTTTGGATCAACACCTGTTGTACCCATTTACAAACACATTTTTTTGTGTATTTTACTGGAATAACATTGACTAAAGGCACAAAAACATGTAAATTTTCAGTTTCCAAGGACTCTCAGGCTATGGAAGTTACCAAAGTTTGGCGGCCATTTTCTCCCTAATTTCACCTCTGAAACCAGGAGACATTCACCTCTTTCAATCGCAAATATTTAGACTTCTATTCAGCATGATGGATATTTTTTTCACTAAAAGGAAGGCAAATAAACAGGCTTTAAGGTGATACCAATAACCCCATATGCCCAACAATTGACGAATGCCTTATTCCACCTCGTCATGACACATTTTATCTTCTCACCTTAAGGATTTCTCCATCCTCGCATGTGAAGGTAGGACCGTCAAATCCTGCAGACACAAGCTGGGCCAAAATTCCCGAGGAAAACAACAGGGTTAACAATGTCATCATTCTGTCTGACTGCTGCAGATCACATAAAACTAAATGTGGGGCATAACTCAACAACGTTTTATAGATATACATGTAGTTTTTGGGCCAGGGGCGCCACCACCTTTTAGGGGAGGAGCGGAAAACTTACAGATGCCTATCACAGTAGAACCTGCTTTAAAGACCACCTGTCCAACTTACTTTACTTTATTTGGTTGGAGAATAGGCATCATTGCAGGCGGCGCAATGCCATAGCTGCTCCACCCTCCTCTCAAGGATCCATGAAAGGGTCTGCTTGCTCATCGTGCCAGTTAACAGCTGGTTGGATATTCTTCTGGCTTTTCCACGAAGGTTGCTGTCTCTCCCCGACCACCTGTTAAAGACAATTACATGAACAAACAACTACTCCTGCTTCCTCTTTTGTGTGTGTGTTTTTTATAGGTGAAGCATTGTGGTGTGCTCAAGCTCTCGTCAAGGTTTGGGCATATGGGGTTATTGGTATCATCTCAAGGGCTGTTTTTTGCCTTCATTTTGGTGAAAAAATACTCATTTATCTTGAATAGGCGCTCGTCTCGAAAGAGGAAAGTCCGGGTTCGAGCCACGATTCGGACATGGATTTTTTTTTTACACCGTCCTGCCCACCCAGCAGTAACGGGGTCCTGACTTCGAGTTAGGGAAGTAAAGGCGGCGTGGAAAGGAACTGGCCACCTTACCACAATATGCCGAAGGCCCAGGAAGTGTGCAATCCATGTGTGCAATCCAGAGATTCCAATCCAAGAGAGGTCTGAATTATTTTTATTTCGAGTCATTCCCGAAATATTCCTTCTGAACCCGATGTCCTGTTTAGTTTTTGTAAGAGTTTTACGGCACTTGCAACACAATAAGGTCATATAAGTGCCGCGAATAGATGTGTTATAAGAGAGTAACATACACAAAAAAGGAGGAAAAATAAGGACGATAAAAGCTTGGTAGGAAAGAAGAAGCAAACCACACCAGAGCACCCACCAACCACTCACGACCAGATGTCCAAACGAAAAAGATAGGTGGTGTGGGAGAGTGTGCCTTAGTCTACCACATTGATACCTGGACACCTTGAAGCATCATCTCTGACCCAGAGGTTGACGTGTAAAGGACCTCCAGCCTCCACGGTCGCGAGCTGAGCTGGTAATGTAATAACGACGATAATAAGCAATATCAATAACAATAATATGATAAACCATTCAGTTATTAGTGGGTGGTTGGCCAGTGCTCTTGTGTGGTTTGCTTCTTCTTTCCTATCAAACACCTATCGTCCTTAACTCCCTTTCTTCTTTTTTATGTTTGTTACTCTCTTGTAACACCTCTAATCTTCTGGCACTCATATGACCTTATGCAGTTGCGAGCGCCATAAAATGTCTACTCAAACTAAAAATTCAGTTTTAAGCAAACATCGTATTTTGTCTGATCCTACCACCGACATCGGTCCACGGCCCTGAAAGTATGTGTTGTCCTACAGGAATTATATAAAACACACTTATCGTAAAGCACACAGTCGTCTCTGTACGTTTTCGAATTGCACGATTCAAATACTTCGGTTTTCCTTGTTTCCCCCCTCCCAACACACACACACACACACACACACAAGACACACACCCACACACACACACACACACACACACACACACACCCACACACACACACCCACACACACACACACACACACACACACACACACACACACACACACACACACACACACACACAAGCGCCAAAGAACAATTTCCTTCACACGTACGTGTCACGAAGTATCGGCACATGATCCCAGTTTCTAAAGGATGGTGCACTGATGAATTTCAAGCCATCATCGACATTTTTAAGAACATTCAGAAGGTCGACTGCTTCGACTGAGTGAGCCTGTTAGGGCCAACCCAGGATGTGAGAGATAATATGTCCACTTTTAAGGACTACCGGACTAACCCAGATTTCGGGGGTTTCCAGAAATCTTGACCTACACCAAAAGTGGGCATTGCCTTACCTATAGGAAAAAATGTTGTTTCATTGGCATGTATATTTAATTGATTATAGAGAAAACTCTCCTTGTCTTTTAAAGAAACTAAACAAGGGGCAAAAGCTTTGCCTTCGATTTTCTCAAAAAACGATTTTTCGGGATAGCCCCCTTGTGATTAAAAGTGACCATTTAACGTCCTAGTAGAAGAATGAAGAGAGCGGATACAAATTCTCATTCCACTGGAATCGAACTCAGGTCGGCTACGTGCAACACTGACAAGTCTCACCGCTACACCACAGACACCGGTGCGATCATTCAGCGCTTGAAGTACAGTAAAAAAAAAAAACTGTAAACCTCTGAGAACTGAGCTGCTCGTGTTTATTTGTGAGGCAGTATTGTGAAATCAGGCGCTCGACAGAATATTGAAATTGAAGAAACTGGCATTTTCCCTTCAGCACCTTTTATGTCCATTCAAGAGCACATTTCGTTTTGGATTTTACTGAGAGACGTTGATTAAAGGCACAAAAATGTACGTTTTCAGTTACTGTGGGCTCTCAGACTATGGAACTAACCAAACGTTGGCGGCCATTTTCTCTCTAATTTAGCCTCTGAAACAAGGCGACCTCCACCTCCTTCAATTGCGGATATCCCGACTTCTATTCAAGATAAATGGGTACGTTTTTAATCGAAGGCAAGACAAATGACAAGCTTAAAGATGATACCAGTAGCTCCACATGCCCAAAAATTGACGAGCGCCTGATTCCACCGCGTGGTGAAACATATGTGTCATCTGGAAGACTTCGTGTTCCACTCTGGATACAGCAAGTGAACTTTAAAAAAGTACAGCTACTGCTCAGTTCTGATTAGATAGTTTAGTGAATGCTTTGCAAGAAGGCAGATATATATATATATATATATATATATGTAATATATATACAGAGAGAGAGAAAGAGAGAGAGAGAGATAGACACAGAGACACTGTAAGTTTGTTTGCAAATATTGGCTCAAAGCAGTGCCTGTCAACCTTTTTTTTATAGAGGGGCTCCCTTTTGCCACCATTACGAACTCAAACTATTGTACAGCTCACCTACTTTATTTTCAAGCGTGAAATTAATTAATAACTGGTCGCTCTAAAGGACAAGCAGGCTAACCCAAATTTCGGGGTTTTCAGAAATCTTGACCTACACCAAAAGTGGGCATTGCCCTACCTATAGGAGGAGTTTGATTCCATTGATGTGTGTATTTGTTTGGTTATAGAGAAAATCCTCGTTGTCTTTTAAAGAAACTGAAGAAGGGTCCAAAAATTTTACCTTCCATTTTCACAAAACAGCATTTTTCGAAATAGCCCCCTTGTGCTTAAAAGCGACCAACTGACTGTCACTACCTTGGTGATCCCGACCAACCACGAACATTACATGACTATGTTGATTCTCTTAGCGCAGAGTTCTGCAAGCTGAAAAGTTGCTTACCTTATAGTTTAGAACATAATATAGAAGTACATGTACTTTTCATTCCTTCTGTTTTTAATCTTGTCTGTACACTGTTGGAATCTAATCACTTGACCCATGGTCATTGTTTTCCATGTCAGATAAGACAACTCGGAAAGTGCTGAACTAAGCTAAATTGTTTCTGTTCTTGGCATGCAGAAAAAGACGTATACCCACGTACATATTAAACACTAATGTCTGTATTATGATTAAGATTATTAAGTTTATTATTATTTTTATTGCTGCTCATGTATATTATGCATGTGATTGTAAGCTTTCGTGTGTGTGTGCGCGCGCTTGTGTGTGTGGGGTGTGTGTGTGTGTGTGTGTGTGTGTGTGTGTGTGTGTGTGTGTTTGTGCGTGTGTGTGAGTGTGTGTGTGTGTGTATGTGTGTGTGTTTGTGTGTGTGTACACGTGGATAAACACCAAACCAATGTGCCAGGATCTGGACATTAAAGATGTATCTTATCTTATCTTATCTTGTCGTATCTTATTATACAAACATAAACGTGTGCGTGGAGACACACACATCCTTGCACATGCTCACATACATGGTTAAGCCTCACTGAACATATCCAATTACGTCAACTTCATAAGAACTTAACCTGTTCCTACGACTTAAGGAAGCCACAGATGTGTAGCATTCTTATCCCCCCCCCCCCCCCCCACTCAACCAATGAAAAGAAATCGCTTGAACCTCGTTCTTGTCAGCATGACTAATACTTAAAAGAGAATCTGTATTGACAACCAAATTATGCGGAGCCTGTCTGAAATGGTGCAAGCCGATGCTAAACTGCAATATTGTGTATTACCCCGGAGACTTCTGTAAAAATTCATTGAAGTAAAAAAAAGCAATTTCTTCTTTTCCAGTCTTTTTTCTTTTTTTTTGGGGGGGGGGAGTGTTGGTGGTGGTGGTGGCGTAATGTCTTTGCACTTGTGACTTTAGCATTTTGCTCATTTTGGAGGATAGACAATTGGGAGGGTATGGTTTTGCTAACAAGGTTTTGCTAACAAATATTCCCTTCCGTATGATAGTCAACAAGCCAGGACACCACAAAGAGCATGAACTACTGATGTTCTAAGGAGCTAGAAAATGGTCTCTCGACAGGGGTGAAAAACTGGAGCTCAGATTTGATCTTCAAGTTAAAAGCAGTGTCAACATTTTTTAAAATAATTAACGTGGATAGGGTCCTGGAAATTAACCAAGACGAACATATAACGTCATCATTTTGATACAGCAGTTTTATGTTGATAGTGTCCCAGAAAATGTCCCGAAGACTTTATTTGACGCTTACCATTAAAAAGGTTCCGTGTTTTATGCTAATATTATGGAATTAACCCTTTGAAAAAACAACACATCGAGACCTAAAGTAACAGCAAAGATGGTACATAACAAGATTGTTCAGTCAGTTTTAAAAGTTTCTACGGAAGCCCGCGCATTGGTTCTAATGGTGCAGCAGTCATTGTTTTGAAGCTCTAAACATGGAAGGCTGGTGTCTCTATAGAAAAAAATGATGACGGTTAAGGAAGCTCTCTTTCGTTTCTCCAGGAAACGAATAGGAATAGTACAGTTTGTAAGTTTCACTTTTATTGGGGGTTTTTTCACACACCTCGGGTAACTCTGTTATCACTGTCCTCGCTTTTCTGAAGATTGCGCCACCGAATTTTGAGGACACTTTTTTAATTGGCTCATACAGAGGAGTGAACTAACTTGTTATACAAGATCATCGGTAACAATCAAGATAAAGTTTGGCGCTCATATGACCTTATGCAGTTTCGAGCGCCGTAAAACCCTAACTAAAACTTTTGAAAATCTAAACAACATAAAGTTATTTGTTGAAACAGAATTATGCAGCATACTTTTTAAGCTGTTACCAATATTTATCATTCATAATCTAGTCCAATGAAGACATTGATCATGCAGCTGCATTTCTCCAAACACATTTGTATTAGAGGCACGCAATGGGTTAACTATGTCAGAATTAGGGCTTTGAACATGTGACACTGACCAGGTACAAACTTCCAGAGTCCATGATTATAAGAGTAACGTTTAGAGATAAGAGACAATATTAAATTGTTAAAAAACATAATAATAGAATTTTTAGAAATATTTACACTGTGGGCTGAGAACAGCCTGAGGGGTCTAGAGGAAGCGCCCCCCAACAATAATATAAACTACAAGTAACACAAAGGTTAACATGCTCATTATTTCCAACATTACAACACCATCATCGTCACCACCACCACCATCATCCCTCATCATCATCATCATCATCATCATCATCATCATCATCATCATCAGCAGCAGCATCAGCATCATCAACAACATCATCCCTCATCATCATCATCATCATCATCATCATCATCATCATCATCATCATCATCATC